AACGTTTCACTTGTATGAAACGTTTGTACTTAACGCGATTTTCATTAACATCTGTTCGGTAGAGACATTCGTCTCGATCCGCGACTTCTAGCATTAATTTGTTATCAACATGTATATCTGTACACATAAACATGTGAGCGAATCTCATTCGAATGTGATCCCCACTATGATAAGGGAACACTTTCGACATCCTTATATGGGCATCCTTGAATCTTCCTGAATATAGGAGAGTCAATATCATTATGATTACGTATTTAACAAGAATAAACGTGATATTCGTCGGCCTACAGTACTCGATAAAGCTTTTGACATTGTTCCAAATCGATTCAGGGAGTGATTAAAATGCCATTTTTTCTACGAAAGTTTTCATAGAGAAGTTTCATTTTTTTATTAGCCTTTCGGAAAAATTGTCTCAAATTTCGGTTGATGAAACGCTTCTTAAGGACCTCGTGCACGAAAATCCACGAGTGACTATTAGAAAACTCGCCGACACTCGACATAAGTCCATCTCCACCGTTTCAATAAAATTATTCTTTGAGTAAAAATTGCGTTCTAAACTAACAGAAGATTTGAAACGAATTTTCCGAACAACCTAATATTTTTTTTAAAAAGGACCGATAATGATGTTCTTAATTCTTTTTTCGTACTTAAATTGATACATATCACTTTTATTCTGTTCTTTTATTTATCAGCGAAATTTTTAATTGGTCTATAGAATAGAACAGGCCAATTATAAACCATATAATTACTAAAAACATTTTATGCAAATTTGAGATATAAATACATTTATAATTTTAATTTTCTTATATTTTAATCTTTTGATTTAATTTCTATAAAAATTAATGTCAAAAGAATTAAATATTTTTATAATCCGTCAAAGCTGGGAGCTTATTTTGAAACACAGGAAAATAAGCAAGGCAAAAGTACTAAAATATTCAGCTAAATAAAATATATAAACGTACTGAAAAAGAAGATGTTCTTTTAAGATGATCGTAAAATTTGTGTTGTAGCGAATTTATGACATATTTGTAAGAGATGAGAAATTGTCAAAATGGCATTTTGTTTACTTCCGGACGTTTTCACGCGACTCCATTGTCCATGCATAATTCAAGCGTCTTTTTCCTAATCGAGTCGTCGCCGTCGATAAATTAATATCATATTTTACTAACATGTGAGAGGCCGTGTGACTATATGTCGTCGACATATAATTGACGCATGGCGAACGGGGAGCTTTGTAAATAAAGTATGCTTGCGCATAGTTCGGCTAGCAGAAGGCCCGCGCGATTTCTTTTTATTGCGAGATATATAGTTAGTGTTATGTATCTATATGTGTCTCACGTTCTGTCTGTCTGTCTTTGTATGTACCTATATACATACACATACGTATGCACACGCACAAAAATTGTGTGTAACGTGTATACATATTATAAATACAACGTGCTTGTGTATACTCGCAAAGGTAACACATATCGAATTGTTTCCTCCCAAATTCTGATGAACCTCGGATCGCGATAAAACAAGAGACACATATTTTTTATATAAAATCTTCGCCACGGATATGACGAATTCTTGTAATGTATTCGGCGTATCCTAATGGTTGTAGCGATCGCAACATATCAGTGGATTTGAAGAAAAAAAAATTTAATATTTCATCGTTTCTTATTTTTCTTAAAAACGGTTAACGTCAAATTTATTCCTTATACATAAAAGTTTTTTGAAATTTTTTATATAGCGATAACCTCTTTCTCTCTCTCTATATTTAAACCAAAAATTTTTTTCCGATGTACAGATAGAATTATACGTTTGTCTGACAAACATCGAAGTTATGTGGAAAAAGTATTGAAAAAGTTATATTAAATGTGATAACAAAAATATAAAAATGCATTACAAACGATATATTCTGATAGGATAAAAGATATTTTATTTAACAGAAAAAAATGTCCAATACTAATAGAGAGATGTAACAAATTTGCAATAAAAGAGATTAACTTACAATGCTAGATTCCCTTGAAAATTTTCCGACGTTCATCAGAATCAAGGTATACGAAAAATTGTTGCCTCTTGCTAGTACTGTATTATATAATACGACGTGATGTGTGATGTGAAGTTGATTTTGGCGAGGAAAAGAAGAAGGACTTATAGTGCCGTGTACGTACAATACCCCGTAGTAACAGAGCATTCAGATATGTAATCGCGTTGCTATAATAGTACGTGAGATTTATCGCGAACGTTTTGAAACGCCAGAATGTTGTTCAATTATACGTATATTACTATTATTATAAAACGCTTCTGAACATGTCGGTGTAACATTTATGATTGGCGGTAAAATCTCACCGTATCTCGGTAACGGATCTTTAAAGTATCTCGAGACATCTTTAACATGCTTTTTATTTTAAACATTGATACATTCCGTCGCGTATTTCCACGATGTACTATCAACTGAAAAAGCATTTAAGATTTTTTTTCCAAGACACACCTTGACGCATTCCGAATGCATTCCGAGATTTCATTTATCTTTTATGTATATTGTCTCAGAACGTGTACAACGACGAATGAGAATATTAGTGTTGCAAATGATATTTTTATGATCTAGATTGACTGCACTTTATCGAGCGAAATCGACAGAAATCCACGAGTTATTAAAGTTTTACCATGGATGCAGATTTTACTGCCGAGATAGCTTCATGACACAGTAGCTTTGTTAACTCAATACCTCCTTGCGGGTATTGCTATTATCGTAATTGTTAGGATCCCGATCCTGCGTAAACATACCACTAACAGCGTTAGCAATTTCAAAAGTGTGATATTTTTTTAACATATCCTTGGGAATTAAATATTGGAATCCAGATTGACGTTGGTGCAAAGTAATTTTTATTAGATCGCGCGGAAAATTCAGGGAGGATGAGAATCATCGTAAAAATATGTGTGCGCGAGAAAGATTGCTGTGTTGCTTATACAAAATACTGAGATTGTCCTGACATAATGTATGTCCGTTCTTTTTTTTTTTTTTTTTTTTTTTTTTTTGTGAAAACTAAGAGAGAAAATTTTTTGTCGCTTAAAAATATTTCTTTTTAATGCGATTTTCAGCGATTATATCGTGCTCAAGTATATACGTGTGTGCACGTTCCTTCTCGATTAATTATAAATCTTTTCTGTTTTCAAAGCGTCATGTGTTAAACGTAGAGGTTCCTCTGTGTATTTTGTGTGTGCTTATATAAAGCTGATGTTAATGCCATTCGTGAAATAACATTTGTGACTTTCGACTTATTTAAAACAGATTAATGTGCTTTGCCAAATTATAGCAGTCTCTCTCTCTTTTTATTACATAATTATTCAAAACTCAAATCAAGTCTATCATACCACTTAGGCATTGTATTACATCCTCTTTATTCAATCCTTTTCGATTCAATTATGTTACATTCGTACGTTATAAGTTATTCCTCATAATTTGCGACATCAGTAAAAATGTTTGAGAGTTAAATGTTTAATTTTTATTTTTATAGCAGAAGTAGCAATATATTTAACCATTATTAATGACTTTATGCCTTTATTGAGCAAATATAATCACAAAAATGATAAAAAGTGTGTCTCAAACTGTAAAATTTTTGTATATATAAATCTTATAAAAATAATGTTAACAAAAATCATTCTTAATAATGATCGGATATATCTACATGTTCTCAATTAGAATTTAATTACATTTTATTAACAAAATTTTTAAAATTTATTTGAGAACTCAAGAAAAATTATACACATATATGGACAAACGAAAGTGATATAGCGTATCTTTCTGTGTTCGTATCATTCAGAGACGAACCAGCCAAGGTGAGCAGCATCAATTGGAGCAAAGCACATCCTTTTCGTTGTATCGTCAAATCAGGACGAGTTTGAAGCGCGGTAGCTTGAACCACGTTGTGATCATGAGGAATATGCAAAGGGCATTAAACATTCGTCGAGCATCATGACGCACGCAGAGTTCATCAGAATTAATTTAAATTAATGTTTCTTTGCAATTTTCTCTATCTGAGATTTTGCGAAACTAATGACTTCATTATATTGTAATATGTACATAAAATGCATCGATAGGTTTTTTGAATCTTCAGATCTGAAGTATGTCACATCACATGACGTTGAAAAATAAATTATTGATAATTTTGTCATAAAGTTGATTAGATACAAATAATGCTAAATGCAGAACGCATCGTTGAACATTAATTAGATATTTTAGTGATTTAATATTAATTTAATATAATCTAATCTTTTAATATAATCTATCTTTAATATAATGTGATATGAAAACGAAATATTATATGATGAATTTACAATTTTGTTTTAAACATTCTTTTTTATAAATAAATACAACAGTAATACAATTAAAAAAGCATTTCTAATTTCAACAAAGTACAGTAATTTAGAAAGTAAATTAAAAATTAGTACTCTGTAAAACTTTAGAGTAAATCTCACTCTTAAAGATTGAGAAAACTAAATCTCACTCTTTTTCAAGACTGGCTTAATTTTCACTCTTTAGAGTGAGATTCCACTCCGAAGAATTTAGAGAAAATATTATTAAATATATTTGTACAAAATTTTATTTTTATTTAATATTATCATACTTTATAAATTTAATAATATTATTATTTATAAAATAATGAATGATATATTCAGCTTTAGAAAAAGTTATGACTAACAATAAACGCATGTAATTCGCATAATCCTGTAATACATAATAATGCGCACTGCATTTATATCTATTCTATCGGTGAAGGAACGATAATCTCGCTGAGAATTAAAATTAAATAGAAATTTATGCTGCAGATATGCATAGTGTTTTTAACTGTACAAATGTGCCAAGATTTTGACAAAAGGCAAACTTGCCAATATTTTGCAAAATTTTGACAATAATTTGATATAGACACGTGTCTGTTCGTGATTTATTAATCCACGCGTCTCTTCCATTTTTGCATTTCTTCGCTATTATATCGTTTCAATATAAGATTCTTTTTAATACTATTTGAATTTTGTCCGCTAATGTAAATCAGCAATTCGTTATATTACGTTTAATTAACATATTAAAATTTAACAAAATACTATCACTTTCCTAAAATTACTAATATAATTCTAAAAATATGCTTGTGGTTAATTTGTGGCAGTATTTAATGATTTTATTGATGATATTTTTTTTAAATTAATTTAATTTAATATATGTTTTTACATTACTTTTTCATATACATAAATGTAGATTCAATCATTTACAAAGTAGTCAATTGGTTTTCAAAATTTGCGCCTTGTAAAACGAAAATAATGTATTATTTTGTAATATAATAATTTATTATGTGTATATCTTCAGTGTCTGTGAAATGTCGAGGAAACTATATTTTCTACCATTTTTTTTAAATATTTGCCTCAGGATATCAGTTCGCATTGTGACTAAAATGATTTGTTAGGTACTCAGATAAAATTATGTACACAGCATGTATTATATTTGGAGAATGGAAGTTGGGTTGAGAAATTACGTGTGTACGGCAATCGATAGCGATGGACTAGCTGTACCGATTTTAAAACTTGCATTAGATTTAAACGAGATATTCGATGCTTTTTCCTCTTACTTGTTAAATAATCTTTGACGTCAATGTTATTAGAAGGAGTGTATTATCGACCGAATTCATGATGCCTAGTCCATTCCTATCTGCCTGAAATTACATAATAATTAGTTAATTTCAGTAACAGAGCGATCGTTCCATTGTGTTGTCACGAATGAATTGTCACTTAATCAAGATGTTCGGCAATATATAATATACGTATTATTGATATTATTTAAATAAAGTAATTATTATTATTCTTATGATTGCTGCTGTTATCGTCGTCGAATAATTTACAATATTGGCCCTTCGTATATCATTGTATTCTTTACTGATATATTTTCCTTTGCTAAGAAATCGCATGTTTTTTCCGACATTGAATCAGTGAAAAAATATTACATTATCACAAGATATGACTCTCTCTCTCTCTGCTAAAAACGCAGAAGCCTAAACTGTTGAAACGTTTTATCGTTATAAAATATTAAATCGATCATCTTAAAAGAATTAATGTTTGTAGTATTTTTATGATCCTCCCTCGGTCCACACTTTATTTTTGTTTTATTTTATCGAGAGTTTCTTATCCTGGTTTCTTTATTTGCTCCCTTTCAGACTCACCTGTAGACAAGTGAACACGGAGATAATTGTAAAAAAAAAAAAGTGAAAAAAGAGCGAGACAGAACTGATTACGGAACATGACTGGCCTGACGGGCAGTTGGTGCATTTAGAAATCTCTGGAAATAATATGAAAGAGGCATTAGGATTATTAATGTAAGTTTAAATGTAGCAATAAGCAAATGTACTCGGATTTGTACGAGGTGTTGCCGATGCATCCCTTTACACCGAGAGAAAAATTAGTGCAATTATAGATTCTAATAGAATTTTTACAAGACAATTAGAAAATATAAGTACAAAATTAATGAAAATATATTATTAAATTTAGGCAACCATAAATTATTATAGGTTATCAGCTCGAGAAGAGAGATTTTCCTCTCGGTGTTTTCTGTTATTTTTGTTGTTCATAAAACCCCGAGAAGATCTTTATTTATTTGAAATTATTGATTTTATATAATTGTCTAGTTGAGTTATCGTGGATTATAAATGTTTAATAATTTTGATTGAAATTTTGGATTTTTCAAAAATAATCCAAAAAATATTTTGGAAATGTGTCATATATAATTTCATAATAATATATAAAAATTAAGGCAATTTATTTATAATAACTCTCTTGGATTTTTCTGAAACTGATCGACTGGAAAAAATTGAAAACACGTTTTTCGAGTCGATTGCCTCGATCTGCTTTCGGCAACGAGTACGCTACTTTTAAGTTATTTATTTATTTTTGCTACCGTTCGCTGCCTTAAACATCTATTTAAGGAATTCTTACGTGATTATCGAATACACGCAATGAGCATCATTTCCGGAAGTCTATTTATGAAGCTTTCACATTTCTATCGTCCTTAGAATAGATCCTTCTATCTAAAAATCTTTCCTTTTAATCTTTTACACTTTCATGTATATATAATTGTGTGCATGAACTGTCGTGAACAGCGGTGTTTTACTTATGCAGATCATTTCATCAAGGTGCGCATTTTATGCTTAAGATGGTTTGTCATCCGATAGTGTGCGCATTTAGATACATTGAGACGTGTCTAACATGTAGATGCGTTTTCCGCCGGAAGTTATATCCGCGAATCGTGGATGAACAGAGATCGTGAGTGCTAACTCACCGAGATAAGTATAAATTGCACTAGAAAATATTAGCGAATACTAGCAATTACCTCAATAGAGCCTGGCATTGATATTCTAATGCGAAACTTGCCTCAATTTCCACGAGTTAATTGTCATAACAGGCACAAGTTTTTGCTGCATTTCTCTGCCAATATAAAACTATCGAATTCATCGTGTTATCATTCCATATGTATAAATAATGCTTTCTGGAGAGACATATTCTTGCATAAATCTGAGTGACCTTATCTAAATTATAAATAATATTGGTTAAATATAAATAATAATGGTAGATAGAAAATGTATACCTTATCTAAACATAATTTAATGAAGTGTAACTAATTTAGAATTATAATAATATATTTTTCTTTTATATACATATATATATA